TAACTGTTGAGGTGTTTAGAGCTCGTGGCAGTGACGCTGCTCTAGGAGCACACGTGCATGTCTGGCTGACCGTGGAGCTCTGAAGAAGCAGCTCTCTCTCCATCCCTTTTCCATGAATCTCAACTTGCCACAAACCCAACTGTGAAGGTTAATTCTAGGTGTCGACTCGGTTAGATGAAGGGATGCTGAGAAACCCGGTAAAGCTGTCTTTTCAGGTGTGTCCATGAGGGTGTTTCCAGCAGAGATTAGTATGAGAGTATGGGTGGACTGGGTGGGAAAGACCCACCCTCAGTGTGGGTGGGAACCATCCAGTCCACTGGGGTCCAGAGAGAACAAAAGACAGAAAAAAAAGTGAAGCTCTCTCTCGATCCGCTGGAGCTGGATACACTCTTCTCTCCTGTCCTTGGACATCAGAGCTCAAGACTCTTCAGCTTTTGGGTTCCAGAACTTACACCAAGGACACCATCAGCTTCCCTGGTTCTGAGGCCTTTGGACTCGGACTGAGCCACGTTACCAGCATCCAGTTTATAGACGGCCTATCGTGGGACTTTTCTTCACAGCCACGTGAGCTAATTCCCCTAATAAATCCCTCTCATATAATTATAACATATCCTATTGATTCTGTCTCTCTAGAGAACCCCGACTAATATGCCAACCATGGCAAATTATTATCAACAGCAAACGGATTGGCTCAAATTCGGTACTTATTCTTCCCTAGCATGCAAATTCTTGTAAAAAGATATTCTACATATAACTATTGATAAAAGAGAAATGTCATTAATATTTCTATGCATTTTTTAAAGAAAATAATGTATTTATGTAACCTACACCTCCATAGCATTAAGCAGATAATTAAAAGGTAGAAAACATAACAAAATGAAAGAAACATTTATTTAAAAAAAAACAAGATCCACACTAAATTATATTTTAATAATCTTATGCGTTTCATTACTGCTTTGTTAAGCAAGGAAGAGGATATAAGAAAAGTAGGAAATGGAGATATTATAAAACAGTCCTGCATAATTTTCAGGCCAAATCTATCAGAGTAGAGTTTGTTATGATTAAATAATTTTTCTTTTAGAAAGCAAATATCCTTCCTAGAGGTCATTCTCACCTTAATTTTCATTTTTTTTCCATCAGAATGTAAGATTTATTTACTTTTCACTGATTTTGCTACCTGCTGGAATAGAAAAGGAGA